TGCCCACCTAGCGCAGCCACATTATCATCCCTCTGTTATCACCCACCCCTTGAGACCAAAGGGAGTGAGGAGATTAAGCAGGTGAACAGCTTTGGCCCAGCAAAGGCTTTGAGTTGTTGGAAACCTCCTGAATATATCGGACACCCTTGACTGGCATTCCCAGCACACCGCATAACTCTGAGAAATGCCTTCACTACCCCCAGAAATACAGGCACTGCTGAAGACTGCAGCAGAGCGAGCAATGCACAGTGCTGCCAGACAGAAAGGGAGGAGAAACGCTGTCTGCAGCCGGCTGGCCAGGAGGGTGCCTGGGCTGCCTGCATGCGGGCCCTCATAGCCATGAGGTCCCTGGAGCGTGTCCTTCTCTGGCTGTGCCCAGCTCCTTAGGAAACTTGCTCTTGTTTACAGGGCAAGCCAGCCTGAATGTTCTGTGTCTTATTTTCCAAAATGTCAAATAATCTGGTAAATAAATAACTTTCAGATGTAATACAAAGCTATCCCTGTGCAACGGGAACAAGCAAGCTGGAGAGCATGCCACAGCTTTCTGCAAAGCATTTTGTCTCCTGCTTCAGCATGAAAATCTTAGCCCCCACAAATATTTGCTTGGCGTAACACTGGCTTATAGTGCTTTGTCAGTTCTTGGAAGAACCTCACACAAGGGAAGTTCTCCTGCAGTGCTCCTCACACTTCAGCATTAACACAGAGCCTGCTGAGGTGTCACTGGTATGCAATGCTTCCTGTCAGCTTTTCTTTGATTTTAAAGGATGTTTCTAGCTTGCCTGCAGCTGTCCCCAACACAGACATTTGTCAAGGAAACGACACATAAAGCAGCCTGCCTTTGCTTGTTGTTTCTTACTGTGCTCAGAGATGTGGTGTCCAGGTGTGCGACTAAATTAAGGTTTGAGAGGACAAACCCTCTGCCTTTCTTGCAAGTGTTGTCATTGTGTTAGTGCTGTCATGATTCCTGTAAGTTTCTTCCCCAATGTAATTCTTGCCCTCCTTGGTGCTTGCTGAATCAGTGCTTCCTGAAATGAACTAAGACCTCTTAATAAGTCATCCAAATCTTAATGCTACTGCTTTTGCATTATGCCCTCAGGATTACTGTTTAGTCCTTTCCCCAACCCCTTCGTACTGTCTTCACAGTCTCCCTTAACGTACTGTCTTACTTATGTCTGAGTGCTCCCCAGATATTAAATCCATCCCCAGGTAGAGTGTGACACGGCTCTTTTCAACAACTGTGAGAATATTGCTGCTAAATTTTCTGGGACCCAGCAACCCAGGTCACCCCACTCCTGCTCTGGTGTAGTTATATACAGCAGCATGGGCTGCGGGTAAAGAAAAGGGTGATATTTAACTTTCCATAGACCCCAGAGATAGCACCAGGTAAGGCCAATACTGGATTAGGTACCGTGAAATGGAGCATAACGCAGTCTTCACTCCCTGTTCAGATTCTTCACCTGCATGCTTCAAGCTGTGATTCAGGAAAGCACTGAAGTATGAGGAAAAAGAGCAGGTATCCAGGAAACCTCTTCCTGAATCAGGACCTTAATGGGATGTTGCATCAGTTGGATGAAAGGCTGTGAGAGTCCCCAACTCTGTCAGACTTTTGTGTCAGAACCAAAATAACAGGGGCCTCACCACAACGTGCCATCAGCAATGGGAGAGAACCAGGGAAGTGCTGAGCAGCAGTGCATCGCAATTTTGCTGAAGCTTCTTGCAGTATGACCTACTTCTTGAAGCTGTTCTCTGAGCAACTTCAGATGGGTAGCAGATTAATCTCTGCCAGACTAGGCAGGAGGAGACAGTGCCATTGTCCTCCTCCTTTGGAGCCAGTCAGATTGCCTTGCCATGTCCTTTGGAGTTGAACATGAAGCTCTGAAGGTACTTTGAACCTTTGAAAGGTGAGCTGGTTCCCTGACCTGTTGCCTCTGTGCTTGCCCAGGTTGAGCTACGGCACTGGTGAGATGGTGTTGGTCTATCTGCCCGTCTTGTACGATAATGACCATGCTGTCTTACAGTACCTCAGACTGCAGTTAAGCATTAAGCTATTGAGGGTTTTTTAAGCCTAAGTTCACGTGGATTGCTTGTCCTGGGTGCAGTGTTTAGTTACCTGCAATTGGCTTATCAAACTGCTATTGCAACTGAGCATGTGACACTGTGGGAGGGACAGTAGCAGCTTATTAATAAATTGCTCCAAGGTCCAGATCAACTGCACTGGAATACCCTGATTCAAATTCTGCAGAAAAATGTTTTTACAGAGTATTTTTCCTTATCCAGCTTAAAAGAAATCCAGGAAGGGTGTCTACCTGCCATACATCTCTGTGAGGAGCAGACATTAGTAGGCATCGCAGCATATTACTTGCATCCAAATAAGTGTGTGTCTGTCATTTTAATAAAAAGCTAGTGAACAGATAGGAGGCTTACTGTATGTTTAGGTCCCTTTCAGTTGTATTTCAGAGCCTCAGATTTGGTCTATGTGGAAATAAAGGGCCAGAGAAAAGGGAAGGGTTACCCAATGGCTTAGAAGTTCCCAGTTTCAGTTCCACCACATACATACAGTGCTGTGACTAAGGTGTGCCCTATAAATAACAACATGACACAGCTGGCAGCCTGCAAGCGGGATCCCCGCTGTAGAATCAGAATCATAGAATCGTTAGGTTGGAAAAGACCTTATGATCATCCAGTCCAACCATTAACCTAACATTACCAAGTCCACCACTAAACCAGTTAAGGGTAGAGTAGCAATTTCATGTTTCCTGGCTTGGTGGCTGGGTTATTTTTAATGAAAGTAAAAACAACGCCTCCCTTCAGCCCACTACTTTCTTCTTCCCGCCCCATCAGCCCCAAATGCCTCCTCCTGCCCATGACACTTACCTGAAAGCTGCGGTGCTGCTGAGACAGCAGCTGCCACATGTCGAGGTGTGGGTGTGAAGGTACCCCGTTCTCTGGGACAGGTCAGACGTGGCATTTCTGTGTATTGCTAGAGATAGGGTTTTAGGCACTTGGCATCATATGAGGGTCATGAACTGAAACACAAAGTTTAGGTGCTCTCTGACTGAAGTGGGGGTTTCCAGGCTCATATTCTGTTGAAGTCTCATGTTAGACATTTCTTTTTTTTCTGGATTTGCGCTTATTAATGTAACAAAAAGCTGTGGATTCTCCCATCGGGTCAAACAGTCATGGATAGGCACAAGTCCCACGTGATTCTTGAGTCTCTGCTGAACAGGAGCCTTGCCTCTATGCATGATTATTAATGGGATTGTCAGTATAGCTAGATAGATGGATTTCATAAGGAACACCACATAAATAAAAGAGTGGGGAATGAGCTCTTACTATGGAAATATGTGACCTTTAACAACTATATGAAGACAACATTTTGATTCTTCTGTCTGCTTTCACCATTAGCTGCTCCTGTACTCCAGAAACCTACGGGCCTCTCTGTGCCTTGAAGTCTGATGCCTGCCAGGGAGGATCTGAGACCCTCTGTGGGCATGGCATCTGTATAAATGCAGACAGGGATCAGCCCAACAAGGTAAGGTACAACATGGAAGTCTCATTATACAGCACAGCATGAATAAGCAACAAATAATGCTGAGCACCACAAAACTGTGTAGCACACACTGCTGCTGAAAAACAGCAAGAAATGCCACTGTACAACATAACCTCTCTGTTGTCCCAAAGACAGCAGAAAGAATTGAAAATGCCTTGTGTCTTGATAGAGGTACTTGTCACAGTATCAGATCTACTACTACATCCATAGGGAGCTTGGGAATATTCTTTGAATAAGTCAAAGTCTTATTTGAAGCATAATATTCTTACTGTTCATTATTTGGGGAGTTCTAAGTTGGTAGAATATTTTATTACTTAAATGATTAAGGACAAATATCATCAATCTTGTTTTTCCTGGGAAAAGGCATACCTGTGGAACATTATTCTCAGTGGCCTGGGAGCCGCCAGGGCTGCATAATGGCCGGGCGGCTGCTGCTCATCTTTGCTGCTCCCCACTGTCAGCTGCACTTGGTCTCTGACTCCAGGCCCAAGGTCTCCACGCATCTGCACTGGGTGGATGCTAGCACACACTTGAATGGTCTCCTGGAGCAAGCCAGCTCATTCTTTTGGGGACAGAATCTGGGTACAGGGTATTCACTCCAAAGGGACAGCTTTGACTCTTTCCACTCAGAGCAGCCCTCCAAAACTACCCTGCCAAGTCTGTGCTCCTTAACACTCCTATACACCCATGCACCATTCCAGACACACCACATATTCTTCGTGCTATGCTATAAAATAATTTCTTTGCTCAATTTGTAAAGGTTTTCACAACTCATCACTTGTTTTCTGCCCATTTTTTGTGGAGAAAGCTTTTCAAAAGGGTTCAGTGTTGGCTTAACAGTGTCTGCTCCTGTGACAGTCAACAATAAAGCTCCCACTAGCTTTAATTGGGCCAAACCTAGATAAATGCTGAAATCTGCCCATTAGTAAAGTTTAATAGAGAGAAAACTGTTTTCCTCCAAGAAAACCTATATTTGCAATTTAATGTCAGTGCTGCACATTGCACAGATTACCGAACAGTTTGCTTAAAAGAAAACAGCCAAGCTGATTTCAGGTTGCTTACACTGGTCTGTTTACCCTAGTTACAAAGTAAGTTGATGACTTTTAATTATGTTTATATACAGCTCATAATTGCTGTTCATTTTCTCTGGGAGCTTTGGGGTAAATTATGGGTTTCTTTTATGAACATAATGAATGAGCCTGTTGTTGCTTCAATAATCTAAATAGGTAAATTCAGAGGAAGAAATAGACTGAGAAAACCACTGAAGCAACTTATAAAACAGAATGTGCAAACCATGTAATACTCTGAAAGCTTTCTTGCTATAGTTTAAAAGACATTTTATAAAATGAACTCCTCCTGCCCTTTTCTTGACTCTTCTAACTGCCTTAAATATGTAACGTGATGTTTGCTGTGGCAGCCCAAGTACCGCTGTATCTGTGACACTGGCTGGATGTCCCCTCCTGGCAGCCCTGCCTGCAACACTGATATAGATGAATGCAGCCTCCCCAGTCGTCCATGTTCACAGAATCCATTTGTGCAGTGCCACAACACACCAGGTTCCTACTCCTGTGATCCCTGCCCCACAGGTATCAGTTCCTTCCATGCTCTCAGGTGGGAGGGGGTGGCAGTAGTGGCTGTATGTCATAAGTATAGACAGGATCCAGATGAGAGTAACTCTATAAAATGCTTTGGTCTGTATTCTAGACAATAAATGCCTGCAGGTTATGTCTGTCTTACCTAGGTAATGCATGCAGTGGAGTCTAACACATGATTTATCCCATCCTAAACTGAGCATCTAAATAGGTCTGACCTACCCTCATGTCCATAGGTACCTTCATGTCCATCATGTCCTATTACCTTCATGTAATTGGTCTGAGGTACTTTCATATCCTTATGCTCACTGCCCTAAGGCAATATGAAAATCTAATTGTCCTCTCAACCCATATAACCTATGCTTCCTCTTCCTGAGTTGGGTGTGTATAGGAGGAGTATTTGAAGTATTTAACCAGAGCTATGATAAAGCTTTGCTGCAAATTGTACATGTGTGCACTAGACCAGAACTGCCTCCTCTTTGGGTTAAAGTGTGTTTGATTCTGCAATATCCAGAATACAGTTAAAATAAAATGTTCTTGCGCACACATCTCCACCCTGTTGAGTTTGTAACCTATTTTGCAGACCAGTATTAATTTTCATCAATTATGAGAGGGACAGGTCTTCTCTTGTGTTAATGAAGTGAAATTCAGAAGTCATGTTTTTCTGCTCTGTGAAAAGATCTGGTCAAAGAAGAAAACGAAAAGGCCAGGCATTTTCTATTTTAATGTCTTTCCTGTGCTTCTTTTTAGGCTGGCAAGGAAATGGCTACAGTTGCCAAGACATTGATGAATGTGAAAGTAATAATGGAGGCTGCTCAACAGCGCCAATGGTTCAATGCATCAACACAATGGGATCCTTCCACTGTGGGCTCTGTCCACCAGGTGAAATGGATTTTTTTTTTTTTTTATAAAACTATGGAAGGGCTTAAAAGATGAAGACTGAGCCTGTTTTATGGTAGACTTAAGAAGCTGAAGATTAGTTTTGTAAGATAAAGAAGTATCATATACACAAAGTAATAATGTCATGCAGTCCAAAAAAATACCGAATGCAGAGTCCAAGTATATTCAAACTGCTTCAGCTATTAATGAACATTTTGCAGGGTATGTCTCTAATGATGATCCTCTGAAATGTGTTTCTCTTCTACTAGGTAGCCCTTTTCAGTGTTAGAGCCTTCATTTGATGAAGTACTTCCTTTGTAAGATCATTAATGGGAAACAAGGATTGCGTAATTATGATAGTAATTTCATTGTATGTATTAATTGAAAGAATATCATGTGTGCCATAAATCAGCTGTACTGTCTGTTTTAAAAAAAGCCTTGATAATTGTCACGCTCTGAATGCTGCCTAAGGAGGCAGTGTTTCCGTTGCAGTACAGGTCAAGCAGTGAAAGTCGTGACTTACATCTTTATAATTTGCGGTTTATGATTTAAAATGCTTTATGAAATGCATGATATCAATACTAGAAATACTGGCAGGAAAAAGTGTTTCTAATTGACCTTTCAATTGCTATTTAAATGGCGATAGACTGCAAGTAGTGAAGGCTCTCGGTTACTGAGTGCTGAAGAGCTATCAGCCATGCTGGAAATGTGGCCTCGGACAAATTTTGATGTGGTGCAGTGGACCTCAGCTCTGGCCATGCAGAGTCGTGCTGCAGTGCTCTGGTCCTGCTGAGCCTCCTGAGAGGAGCTGGATGTTGCGTTTGAGACCCAAGGGCAGCTCTGGTGTGCAGTGGGAAGCCTGGAGTGGTCGGGGCTGGCTGGGTGTGGACACGTAGGGAGGGCAGCACATGGTGGCTGAGAGAGCTGAGCTTCCATGGCCAACTACATGTGGCTAGAACTAATATACCCTTTTTCTAAAAGCATGGGAGGATTTAATTACAATCAGAATCCATCCCTGCAATGTAGGAACCACAATAAATATGCCAGGTTTTACTCCAGTGGCTATCTCAACTTTTTCTTTTTAACTGCAGAAGACTATGATTTTACACCATAAATTAGTCTTTTCCTCACCAGATATTTGTTTTGCTGTCAATTGTCAGAGAGCATAGTTTGTTACAGACTAACTGAGATTTACCTCTGAACAGGTTATGAGGGAGATGGACAAACATGTACACAGGTTGATATCTGCTCAATAAATAATGGAGGATGCCATCCTTTGGCTACTTGTACCTCAGCTCCAGGTATGATGATCTCTTACGGACTGTAAGTAGTACCAGTGTGAATCTCAAGGAGGGTTTCGTTAGTCTGAATCCACTTTGTAGCAACATATTTAGATTGCAGCCCCTTCTCCACAGTCAGTTTTGCCTCACCCAAAGGAGTTTATAGGCAGGTTAGCTAAAGCCAGCAGGCCTTTCCACAAACACTGACAAAAATAGATTTAGGCTCCACCAAAGAGCAGGTTTCATCATAGAAATGTGGAGATCTTCACAATTTCTCTTTGCAGTTTTCCAGTTTCAGCTGCTTTACTATTCTTCTCATTTCCATAAATATCCTTTGACTACTCCCATCACTTCCCACGAAGGTGACCTTGGACTCTCAGGTACCCATAGCAAAGCAACACTAGGGATCTTTCCATGGTCAAACTGGATGCCGACCAAGGAAGGTATCAAAAGATCAAATAAGTTTGAATTATATAAAGGCTCTGCTTCAAAATGTCAAGGACCTTTACCATCATTGGTATTGTCATTGTAACAAGGACCAAATTACTTTCTGTGTCTTGTCTCATCTCCCAAGGGCCAATGCCATTTTGTTCCTGCACATCTGGGTACACTGGAAGTGGATATGGGCCGAACGGGTGCTCTCCTCTCAGTGGTATCTGTCAGCTGCAAAACCCTTGTGCAAATGGGCAATGCTTGGTAAGTGCTGGGCTCCTCGCAGTTAGTGACAATGTTATGTAGTTATAACCAGAAACAACAGGGAGACTGGTCAGACCGAAAGCTGAGTGCAGACATGCTAAAGGCAATGAGGCGAGGTCAGCGGGGAGTGGGAGGTCAACGGATATGTGTGGGGAAAACAAAGTGAGTTTCAGGGCACACGAGCCATTTCTTTGTCTTTGAAGTAGAGGCAGCAATCTTGGCACTGATAACCTGAGAGGCTGTGGCTGGTACCCCAGGCTAGCGATGGGATGCTGGTGCTGGTGGGGGAGAACCGATGAATGGCTGTCCCTGGTGGGACGGGGAAGTAATTTACCACCTTATGTCATGGAGGAATTACCCATGATAACAAAAGCGCTACCTCTGCTGACCTTCAGACTGTTAATATCCCGTACAGTTAGTTATGTGTCCCTAGGCTGATCTTGTGAGAGCCTCCCTGGAGTCTCAAGCTGTTTATATGGATACGGAAAGGGTGCTTCATGGGAATTGGTTGTACTCCTGCAGGTAGGCGAGTGTTTTGGACCTTTACTGATTGGTGGTGTGAATTCATTCTCATGCACAGTGGCCATTTAGTTTGTCCACATGGACCTTGTGAAGGCCTTTTGGTGAGGTGTGCTGTGCTCAGGAAAGCCCATGCTGCAGGCCTGGGGATTTGGATAATTCTGTTGTCAAGGATCTTTATGATTATGATTTTGGAGAAATGATCACAAATGGTAAATTTGTTGTACCAGTAGAGTCTGATCCCATTTGTCCACGCTGGTCTGTGGATATCCTCCTTTTGATGATGCTGGGATGCAGGGGTGAAACGGGACATAGGAGATGGACTTGGTAGTGTTAGGTTAACAGTTGGATTCAATGATCTTAGGGGTCTTTTCCAACCTAAATGTTTCTATGTTTCTATGATATGTTACCTTTCTCTTTTCCCATTTTCTGTGTGAAAGGAGATGATACCCTCATCTCCACTCCACCCCTTACCAGCATTCCTCACTCTCTCTGCTGTAGACACCTATTGTCTTTTCACTCAGGTATTTAAAAGGCCTTTTGTGCCCAGATCTAATCTTCTTTTCTGACTGTTTAGAAACTATTTATTTTAGTCAGTCTATTAAAAGATATGATGTCTTCCCCTAAATATATCCTAATATAGAACCGTAGGCAATTATGGCTACAAACTACTACATAAAGATAACAACACAGTCAGATACTTTAGAAATGGGACTCCAGAAGCATCTAATAAAATAGAGGAACAGCAGAGCTATATTTGGCAAGCGTAATGACAGATGAAATGTAATGTTAATTAAATATCAGGCAGTGCAGACCAGAAAACACCTTTTTGCCTTCTAAAGCAGCATTCAGAGCCCTAAATACACATCAAAATCCTCTTCCATCATACTGAAAATTTCTGTTCAGGACACAGAAGACATAAACAGATAATGCGAAAGGAAATAGAGAATATAGCACATTGATTGTATGTCATCAAAGATGGGATTGTTAGCATGTACTTTGGAATGCCATGTTCTGCTTTACCTGTAAAAATCATGTCTATAAAACAAGAAATATAAGGAAAGAGGACATATGAAATCAAAAGTTAGAGATATGGAAAGACTTGATTATAAGGAGAGGTAGTAAAGGTTGAGACAAAAGAAATGGAAGAGACATACAGAATAAGGAATAATGCAGAGAAGGCAATGAAATTGTTCCCATTTAACATCCCTCAGGGTGAAAATGAAAGTTAACAGCCCACATAACTGCAGTGCAGATTTCCCAGAGGCTTGAGAGAAATGATTTATAAACCACTGTTATCTTGACTTGCTATTTATAAGGTTTAGATAATATGATTGACTTGTTTCTAGGGTGATCATTTCAAAGCCAAGCAAACAGTTTTCTGAATGGCTAGCTGAATACAGATTTTGACTTTTTAGAAAGTCGTTTGAAAGAGCTCTGCAAAGAAATAACTTAATAGAAAAAGCAAAGAGCTAGATAATCCAGGCTTTAGGTTTATTTTGGTGTTCACCAGTGACCATCAAGGCTATTAAATTCCAAATGTTTTATTTCTTTGCTCTGCTATGGCCACATAAAATAAGCATAAATATCAGTCTTTCTGCTGACTACATTGATTCCTTTAGGTGATCCATGCTCATTAAGTTTATTGCATTTGCTTATACATGTAGCCAATGATCTCTGGATATTTCTGCCTGTGTAATGCGGGCTGGACGGGCCCCAACTGTACGGAGAACATTGACGAATGCATTAGCAACCCATGCCAGAACGGAGGGAACTGCACCGATGGGGTCAACGGCTACTCCTGCGAGTGCACCAGCGCCTGGACAGGACCACAGTGCCAGACTGCCCAGCAAGGTAGCGCCAGGACCTCCTCCCCAGGACAAATGGGCCACCAGGCTTCAGCGAGTAGATGCTTGATGTATATGATTAATATGTGAATAAGAACCAAGTTATGATGGAGAAAACAGCCCTCTTCTCGGTGGATTACAGGTCCCAATCCAAAGTGCCTTGAAGTCAGAGGTTATTTTTCCATGAGTTTTGTTTATAGTTGCTTTGTTTAGCAGTAGGAGTATAACAATGAAGTTGATCTGCAGGCCCACTGACCTTGACTAGACAGTAGACATTGTAAAATCAGATCTGTTCCTGAGAAAGTGGTCTCGTAAGCTGGGTGGGAAAGAGGATCCAATATAAGAAGAACAGATTTACAAGAGAATAGGTTAATGTTTCTCTTTTGTGCATACTCTTTCATTTGCTGCGAAGCTGAGAAGCAAGACAAAAAGCCAGAAAAGGTTTTCAAACACAAATTTAATGAAAGAAATGTTATCCAGGAAAATGGGGGACCCTGAGTTTTATAGAGTGACTGCAAGGTCCTGCCTTTAACATTTCTTCTTAATACCAATTTTTCTGTTTGTCTGGGATTTTTTTGCCATTAATTTTAATTAAACAAGGTAGGATAGCATTCCAGTGAGCGTCCCTGTGGCAACCACCTGTCAGATGGCTCATATTTATTACAGATTGCTGTGAAGAAAGCTTTTCACAGAATACAGAATGTAAAACTTTCACTGAGCCCCTGTGATATCTGCTCTGTTTTAGAGCTACTTCATGCTCTTTCTTATTTTCCTTAAATATCTAACCAGTAATGTTTTATTATTAAGCACACATGGGAAAAAATTGATTTTTAATCATTCATAAGAGAAGGGATAAAAACCAGTTTTTATCCAGTGAGAAATTGTAATATATCAACTTTTGGTTTAGTTCCTAATCAAGGGAAAAATAATACATTTTATGACATGATAATTCTGAATCTGTCTGAGAAATGGTGAGATGTTTTAGATGGACACTTCAAACAAAATTATATTCTTTTTACCAGTCCTTGAAATGAAATACTTCAGTTTGCTGAGAATTGAATATTTCCTTAGCATCAGTTCAATGTTAAACTACAGCTGCTTGTTGTACACTGTAGCTATATGTGTATTGTATTTTTTGTGCTTTATGGACAGACATATTTTTCTGTAGCTGTTTGGGATTCCCAGTTCACAGCTCCCAGTCAGTGAATGGCTCAGGGAGAGAAGAGACCATGGTATACCGTGAGAGGTATTATCAGGCCCAGAGATCTGACCAAAGAGAATAAATGGGACAATTAAACATCTGAAGGATAACTTCCATGATGCACCACTACTGAGAAAGACAATTTTATATCATGATAGCTTCAAAAAGTTATTTCATTGTAGGTGAAAAATGTAAAGATTCAATCTGGAGATAGCCTTCTGGAAATAAACTAGTTTATGGACACTTTCCTGAGACAGAATCAACATCTTTTGGCAGTAGCCACATATTCCAGCTGAAAATCTTTATTCTTTTTACAGGAACTACTTTTCTCTCAGGGTTATTCCTGAGAGTAACTTTTGCTTATTTTTTGTGATGTCATACCACTTTAAAAGAAATCCTGAAGAGCCTTTTATAGAAGCATCTTCCACCCTTGTTTTTAATGTTTAGGAAGCCAAAGCTATGCAAGAAATTTAGGTTTTGTTTAAGTCTGTATAGTGATAGCACAAATTAATCCATTTAATTTTCTCTCTCTTTCTGCAGCTTGTGGAGGATATCTCTCAGGCTCCACGGGGACTTTCAGTTACCCTAACAACCCAAACAGCCAGCGGTACAACAGTGGGGTCAGCTGCGCTTGGGTTATTCAAACTAATCCCAGCAAGGTAAAATAGAATTCAGGTTAAAGAAACACTCACTCTGCAGGACCCTTCAGCTCATCAGAGCAAATGTGACCATCTGCTTGCCACATATTCCACTATTGTGATCCAATCCCCTCAGAATAAATAGTTTTTCAAAAAGAATAAGTTTCAGATCTTTACCAACCTTCAGGCTCCTCAGCCTAAGAATTTGCCTGGGTTATGTTTTCAAGGTTATTCCTATGCAGCTGAGGGTTAGAATTTATTCACCTACCACCAGCTAGAGAAGGTGCATGTTTTACATTGCTTTAGAATGTGATCTGTAAATAGCTGCACGAGAAAAGCTGTGCTCTGATGGGCTCCACAGTTGGTTTGTGAGCTAAGTGACCCCAGAACAATTTCATGTTTCTGATTTCTCAGCGCCAGAATTGTGGAATGTTGAATTCATATTGTCAATGGCTTTGTGTAATAACAGCACTTGAATTTTTTTAAGGATTAATTTTTACATGTTACACTCAAATGTATATTCTGATTATGATCTGCAACTAACAATTCCACCTGAGTTATAAATAACAACTACAAAATAAGTTACTTCACACTTTAGCATGGGACTTTTTACTTGGAATCTAAACACTTGATCTATTTTTGACATTTAATGGAATGAATTAAGTAGTTTTATATAAACCAGTGGTTGCTAGTGGTTTATACAACATTAAATATACATGTACATGACATATCCTCAGCTTTAAGCCTGAGAGCCACTACTATCTTCCGGAGAACTATATTAAAGCACATTAGTGAGGAATCTGAACATACATAAAGCTGTGTATGTCACTAAGTATCTAGAATGGGCTTATGAGACACTGATTTTATATGTGCAAAAAGAGGTAATTTCATTTTTTTAATTCCCATGACAATACTTCCAACCATAACAAGGATGAGAAATGTTAATTGTCTGATGAGGAAACTGCCATGGGAAACCTGGAATAAAGTATTTTATGCTGTATTTCAAGCCTTTCACATCGCTTGGGAAAAAAAAAAAATTCACATATATAACAGACACAGGCAAATGATCTCAATTATTAGTTTATAGAAACAATGCTCTTTGCAGACAACTTCCCTGTCCAAATTCTTTCCTATCTATCTTCTCTCTTTCCTTTTGACTTTTAAGATTCTGTAATGTCTTCTTCTGTCCTGGAACTTCTCAGGAAATGGCATAATGGCTCCAAAGATTGTAGATTCTCACAGTTGCATGAACACACATATCTGCTCTGTACAGAGTTACTGCATAAACAGTGTCTCAGTGAATGGAAAAAATGAGATTTCTTCTTTTGTTACTTCCTGTTAGATTCTGCGTATTATTTTCCCATTCTTCCAACTGGAGGCAAGTAATGAGTGTAACTCTGACTTCCTTCAAATCCATGATGGGCCTTCAGCGTCAATGCACATGCTGGGAAAATACTGTGGTTCCTCACCTCCTTCAGAGCTTTTCAGTTCCCACAACTCCCTGTATTTTTGGTTCTACTCAAACCACACCATTACGGCTGGAGGTTTTACTGTTCAGTGGGAATCTCGGGATCCTGGTAAGTCTGATGATATGTCAAGTAATTTAGCATCTTCGTGGCTTTGGAGCAAAATGAATGACTTATTTCCTTTGATTCGGAAACATTAATTAGGGATCTTGTTAGGTCATGCAGAGAGAAAATTAGAAAGGCAAAAGCACAGCTTGAACTCAATCTGACCACTGTTGTAAGAGATAATAAAAAAATGTTTTTACAAATACATTAACAACAAAAAGAGAGCCAAGGAGAATCTCCATCCTTTATTGGATGTAGGGGGGAACATTGCCACCAAGGATGAGGACAAGGCTGAGGTACTTAACACCTTCTTTGCCTCAGTCTTTAATAGCCAGATGAGTTATCCCTAGGGTATTCAGTGCCCTGAGCTGGAAGACAGGGATGGAGAGAAGAATAAACCCCCCATAATCCAGGAGGAAGCAGTTAATGACCTGCTACACCATCTGGATGCTCACAAGTCTATGGGACCATATGGGATCCACCTGAGAGTACTGAGGGAGCTGGTGGAGGAGCTTACCAAGCCACTCTCCATCATCTATCAGCAGTCCTGGTTAACAGGGGAGGTCCCTGATGACTGGAAGCTTTTAATATGACACACATCTACAAGAAGGGCTGGAAGGAGGATCCAGGGAACTACAGGCCTGTCAGCCTGACCTCAGTGCTGGGGAAGATTATGGAGCAGTTCATCTTGAGCACGCTCAACAGGCATGTGCAGGTCAACCAGGGGATCAGGCCCAGCCAGCATGGGTTCATGAAAGGCAGGTCCTGCTTGACCAACCTGATCTCCTTCTATGACCTGGTGACCCGCCTGGTGGATGAGGGAAAGGCTGTGGATGTCATCTACCTGGACTTTAGTAAAGCCACAGCATTCTCCTTGGGAAGCTGGCAGCTCATGGCTTAGGCAGGTGTAATCTTCACTGGGTAAAAAACTGGCTGTGTGGCTGAGCCCAGAGAGTATACCTGGACTTTAGCAAAGCCTTTGACACAGTCTCCCATAATATTCTCCTTGGGAAGCTGGCAGCTCATGGCTTGGATGGGCGTAGTCTTCACTGAGTAAAAAACTGGTTGGGTGGCTGAGCCCAGAGAGTAGTGGTGAACGGAGTTAAGTCCAGTTGGCGGCCGGTCACAAGCGATGTTCCCCAGGGCTCAGTTTTGGGCCCAGCCTTGTTTAATATCTTTATCAATAATCTGGATGAGGGGATCCAATGCACCCTCAGTAAGTTTGCAGGTGACACCAAACTGGGCGG